TCTTTATTTAACGCCAAATGCTATCCATCAAACAGCTGTTCAAAGGATGTGAATCAGTTTTGAAAAAAAACTGATCGTGAGTTATCAAAGTAGAGTGCAAAAATGAATGTCCGATAGAGGAAATCCATTAAATGTTCGCCTGATAACAGGCGATTTTCGTTATCAATTGAAATGTAAAGCGCTCTCAAATTATTCAAATCAAACACGTGTTCAGAATGTAAAAAACACAGAGTGCAACAAGTTTGCTTGTCTCTGTTTTAAAAATTATGCTGGAAAATTCATGCGATAAGAATTGTTGATGTGGATAAGCGCTTAACGATAAGTGTCCATTGAGTGAGTGATCTATTTAGTGTTATTATTGCAAAATTGCGTTTTGTTTGTTCGATTGTGAAATGGAAAAGGTCATTAGTATAACTGTTTGTATGATATAATAATAATATGCCGCTGAGTCGGTTGGTTCTATGCGCATGAATATACACATATTTGTGCATGTATTTATTAGATAATTAACGTTGGTTGCAGATGGCTGTAGCACAGAGATAAACAAATTGTTATTGCTGTTATTGGGTTGCGCTGTACAAGGTGATCAACGTGAAAAATTCATCGAACGTATCAAGTGTATGCAAACTGATCTTCAAACCGCTATTGTACAGCAGATTCAACGGGTATTTTACATCCATGCAATTTTGTCCTTTAATGCTATCCATTTTTTTCGACGGTTTTACCGCTTCCGCATCACGCTCTATTGAATTTGATGAATTCTATTTAGACATTACTCATATTATCCCTCGTGTTNAGTAATTTTCACTTGAACATCTGCAATTTCTATTGATTTCTCATATACAAGCAGTTTGGAACGATAATATCATGTGGAAAATTCTTAAGCTACTCGTTGTTATAAAGCAATCAAGCGTGAGAATCTAGAGCATTAGTATGTGATGAACAACATTTTCGAAGTGCTTTGCTTTTATTTTCAATTTCTAGGTGACTGAAGACGGTGAATTCATATTGAACATAGACGATCTGGAGGTGGATCGGGGAAACGAGCAAAGTGTGTCCATGCTGGCACACTTGGAGCGTGTTATCAAGGAACGTGACACGTATGCGAATTGTCTGCTGGAAATGGCTCATGAACATGTCAGTCAGTCCATTAACGAACGATTACAAGCGTTCATCCATACGCTAATATCTTATTATTCTGGCATCACTTCTGCCAACACTATCCCATCTTCTTGATTCGTGTTTTGATAGTTCATCCGTAAATTCTCGTAAATTTATCTTCAATTCGTCTTTTATCATTAATTTTAAGAGAAATTCTTCCCCATTTCTACAGCACACTCGAATCGTTTCCATTGAAAGCTGAGTTGCTTTTGAGTAGTTTCAAATTATCGCTCTAGTGTTGATCCATTGACAAGTGATCCATTCCTATGATGAACAGTGAATATGCAGCATAATTATTCTTATGAATCCATATCAGAGTCGTATATAGTTGAATCCACGAACGAGTTTTTGAGATTTTGATGTGAAGCATTGGTTGAACTTGTTATGGCCATAGAACAAATGAATTGTTCAGTGAGTATTATGGCCA